GATCAGAGGGCTGGAGCCCCTCTCCTATGAAGACAGGCTGAGAGAGTTGGCGTTGTTCAGCCTGGAGGAGAGAAGGCTCTGGGGAGACTTTCTAGCAGCCTTCCAGTACCTGCAGGGGGCCTGCAAGAAAGCTGGAGAGGGACTTTTTACAAGGGTGTGCAGTGATAGGACAAGGGGTAATGGCTTTAAACTGAAAGAGTTTTAGCTATAGCTATAAGGAAGAAATTCTTCACTATGAGGGTGGTGAGGCACTGGAACAGATTGTCCAGATGTTGTGGATGCCCCATCCCTGGAAGTGTTCAAGGCCAGGTTGGATGGGGCTTTGAGCAACCTGGTCTAGTGGAAGGTGTCCTTGCCCCTGGCAGGGGGGTTGGAACTAGATGATCTTTAAGGTCCCTTCCAATCCAAACCATTCCATGATTCTATGGAGGAAAGGAATATGAAGAAAAGAAAGCTGAGAACTTCGCACAACATTGTGATATTTCAGTCTGTGACGTACATGAGATCGCTCTTGTCAGCGTGTAGGACTGAACTACGATGACAGTCAAGGACAGCGGTTTCTTTGTAGGACAGACTGCACTCCCAGAGTGCACGTAACCCTTTCAGGGGAGACAACAGGTGTAATCCATGCAAGATGCAGGGCAAGTGGCAGCCAATCAAACTGAGGACCAGGAAGAATGGACATTTATAAAAATCACTTTAAAAGCGATGAACAAGGGTAGAAGGAGGAAACATGACATGAGGCAGGGCTACAGTGAATGGGAAGAACGTGTGGAAACTCTTCAGAGAGAGTCATTTTTAACGTTTTGAGAGACTAACCCAGAAGACCCATTATATTCAAATTTGGTTTACAGAAGTGTCATGTCAAATAACTGTATTTTTACTGGAAAATATAAACATATTTCCAAAAAACCTGTTATTCTAATCCAGCAAACTCATTTAAAGGCCAGATCAAAGCTGTACTTACTGCTGGAGAATGTCCTATGACAGCTGCACATTGTTTTTCCAGGTACTTCCCTGTGTCAGGGATAGCATTTTCTTTCAATCTTGAAATAGAAATTTTATAATTTCTGAAAGACAGACACAATTAAGACAAAAGTTACTTAAATGATAAAGCTTGGTTTTTACACCTGTTTTCATTTTTAGTTAAATATCTAGCTAAAAGGTTCTTAGATAATGTTATATTTTAATAGCATAAAAAAAACCCCTCAGGCTCACATTGTTGGTTGGGTTTTTTGCCAACCTCCAGAACTACGTTAAAATACAAACGAGGAGAAGAAAATATGCGATTTAAATGCCAGGAAGATAAAAGCCCTCTTCCCCCCAACCCCTTCATAAAGTGTGTGGGGTGGGAGAATTGAAAAGCTTTTGATGGTGCAGAGGTGTGGTTTGAAACTAGAGATTGAGAGTAGGAATTTTTTATAGGTCTTGTGACTGAAAGTTGAAATGCCTGGGTGTTTAACAGAGCATTTCTACAGAAATACCAGAGAGGTCATTTAATAACATTTGAACTGCTCTGTTACGGGCCTTTACCATGGCTAATACAGGCATATGCAGTAAGAATGGAAAGGTTTTGGATTTGTAACTAAATGGCTTTTCAGATACGGACTAATATATTCAGAAAGGCAATAGCAGCCTTGGTTTTGGGTGAGGAGGAACAGCAGGAGAAAAAAAAAGTCATGTTGCCAGTGTCTCAATTGAGTATTTTCTTCTGTTAAACAAGCAGAATAGGAAATTTGGCACATCTTGTGCACCTGATGGCAGCTTAAGAGCCTCTGAAATGTTCAGCTCAGTAATCGCTTTTTCCTCTCCCAGGAATGTTTTCAACAGGAGCCATGTTATCTTAAAGACATGTTATGAAGCAAGAATTGGGCGTGTTTTAGCATTTTCAATGAGAATTAAAGAATAAAGGGAAGTAGCAGCAAATGTGTTAACATGAATACAAAAAGGATGTGCAAAAAGTGTTATATGACATAAAATAGGATTGAAATAAGAGAAAAGAAAATTATTTAAATTTGTCAAGTAGAGAAGAAAAAAAGATTCATCTTAATACCATCTAAAAATGGCCTTTAAGAGCCTATTTTACTTTGGCTTCAATTTAAAATTACTATGGCATTTTCTGGAAGTCAGGATAAATAGAAAGGTGTATGCAATCTCACCAATTTCCACCCTGGTTACATAGAGCTTTGTAAAACTCTAGAATATACTCAACTATTTGCACTTTGAACAGCTGGAAGTTACTGAACGGGATGCAAGACCTGCAAAAAAATAAACAACTGACCCTATGTGCATATTTGATTTTTGTAAAAAGTGCTAGGGGAGAGTTTATTGGAAGGGATATTTCACCTATACTTAAACAAGGAAAATACTCTTTTCTTTTGCAAATCAATTTAGGACATGACAGCGACAAACCTCTAAGTGTAAAACTTCAAAACCAATTTTCAACATTTTGCAGGAGGTTGCAACAGTGCTAGTGTAGAAAGATTGCAAAATATGTAG